AGACTGTGCACCCACTTAAGTCAGTACCTTTCCTAAAAGGAAGGGAAGGAAGGGGTACACAGTTTCCCTTTGGAAACATGTAATGTCTTCTGGAGTTATTTTGCCTTCAGAGCAATTTCCTTAACCTGTTTTGCTGTGGAAATTCATAAACTGCTGACAGTGACTTAAAGTATGTGAGACAAAGAGTTTCACTCAACAGTCAGGATTGAGTATAACTCTTGAGCAGGTATTCTTTATTCACAGTGCTGGGCAGCACTGGCATTCGCTCCACCACAAGTGCCACACTTACTAATATAAGTACTCTGACTAATATACACAAAAACATACATATGCATCATATGTCTTAGAAAAGGCAGTCTTATGCTAATGATTCTCAGAATTCATTTACATAGTCTGAGCATGCTTAGTAAAAATAGAGTGAGGGTCTTCTCTCCTCCTTAGTAGTCCACACAGCCTTTCTCACACTGTCTGTTAGTTGAACTTTAGGTTTCTCATGTCCATAGGTGGTCATAGAGTTACCTCATCCGTCCTTCAGCTCCTGTTTGTTCCAAGGAGCTTAGTTTAGATCAGCTTGCAGTCACTGGCATCTTCTTAGACACTTGTTTTTTAGGTTCCTGCTATTAGGGATGTACTCAGGGATTTTTTCAGACTGTCCAAGGTCTGCCTTATATTTACTAGGCAAGCAGTTAAAGGTTTCAAAGCATCTTACAAGTGGGTAATGACTATAGAGGGTAGCTAGGAAAAAGTATTAATGAAATTACATACCTTGCAGTAAAATACGGGAAAAATTAAAAGCTAGTAAAACACAAGTGATAGTTAACTTTAAAACTACATGTCCTACTCTACAGGACCCCGTACATTAGCAATTTCAAGTATACTTGTAGCAACTTCCCTTTACAGGTCTGCTTAAACAAGTGTCTGAGAAGAAGATGTAAGCACCACTTTTTCAGCGGTGTGTTTTTCCTCTGGGTTAATATGATGGTCTAGCACTTCCAGGTTTTCTGCTTCTTGCTTTCAACTTTTGTTCTCCTTGCTGTTGGGGTTGACTTTTGGGGGTTGTGCAAAAGGCTGTGTCTTTTAGCATAATGGGAGCAGTAAAAACTAGAATCAGATTTCTTGTGTGTGATTCCTGTAGTGTTAGTTCTTTTTTACTACTAAAAATGACCTGTTTTATAAGAAATAGGAGCAGTCTTTTACTTGATATTTGAATTTATGCTGGCATAACTTTCACAGTGAAATCTTTCTGCTGAAACTTTAAGGCTCATCTCTGTATTCAGAACTTAATGATACAGTAGTTGTAGTGCTAGTAAGAGGTCAGGAGAGGTGAGATTTAGCCACTGAACTCAGCCCGAGCACAGTGTAAGAGGCTTTTAAAGTTACTAATGGATTAAAATAGTTGTATCTAAGAACCTATTGTGGTTGCCTTTGTTTTTCTCAGTTCTTCTTTGGATGAACTGTAGGAATACTGAGTATTAACACTTTAGAGGTGAAGTTGTGCTGATTTTTCTTTGAGCAGGGAGGGCTGGCAGTTAAATGCTCTGCGGTGTCAACTCTGGCTGAAGTCACTGAGAACAGCACTTCTGTAAATCTTAAGGTTCTTGCACGTTAAGTCTATTTTAGTGATACAGATAACACAATGTAGGTCTACTGAATTATCAGTACTCTTCTGTTACTGGATTTTTCTCTTTTATTCTTCTACTTGTCTTACTTTTTTTGTCTTGATATGTTGAAAATTCTGCACCACCAGCTTGCACTGATGTAATGTTTCACTGCCACCAAAAGGGGGAGATGTTACAGTCTCCCTGTTTTCTTTCTTACTGCTGCTAACTTTTCACTGTCATTTATTTGACCTTCATGTAGAAAACTTTTAATAGAAAGGTGGATTAAAATGACCTGACAAAGAATAAATTGCAGGCTAGAACTGACACAGGAGCGGGAATGAAGATGATAATCTGTTAGATAGCGTAAGGTTATACAAGACATCTTGAAACAAATTGAAGAGCTAGAACTTTTACAGAATCTCTAATACTTCCTAACCATACTCACCAGTTTTCCTCTGCTTTCTACTAGGTTGCTATTAAGCTTTTAATTGCTCTGATCCAACCCAATCAAATGTGTATTATCTGGGAAAAGTCATGTATTTAAAAAAAAAAAAAATCAATAAAAAGCAGAATAAGAAAAAAAAAGTATCTGGCAAAAGGCTAATGTTTGGGGGTTTTTTTTCAGTCTTCCCATGCTTCTCTTCTATCTTTGGAATGAAAGTAAGGGAAATTTGAGATATTCAAAACTAATGCCACATCTTCCTTAAACGTGTATATTCACAGTCAGTTAAGTCTCCCTTATTGTCCTTTTTTATGTAACTAGAGAACAGGAGAGTGCATATGAAAAATACTATGAGAATTCTGCATGCAAATACTACTTTTGATAATTCTGTTTAATTTACTGACATATATTTGACATTGTGCACTAGCTGTGGCTCTAGATGATCTAAAAAACCCTAACCCCTCAGCATCACCAGAATGAAAGAACTCAAAGAAGCAAGCAAGACTTCCCCACACAAAGAAGAAATTGATGGTGAAACTTTTTCATTAAAGTGTTCAAACTGCGTTTTATTCTGTTGATTTGTTCTCTGTTATATTAATTGATGGAACTCACTGTTAGAATCAGACATACATGACCATGAGATGTGGAATGTAACAATCTTTAAGGAGGGAGAGAAATAAGTAAAATGAAAACAACTTACTTGAGGAAAATAGGCTTCAGTAACTTCAGAAAACAGGAGATCCTGTGAATGTCTGAGAAGAGTAAGTGAAAAGGTATGTAGGGTAAGCTATACCTGTACCTCCTACCACTGAAGGCACAAGTACAAATTACCCTAGTGTGAATGAAGGCTAAGAAGTATAGCAATAAATTGGCCTGGCTAAATCATGAGTGGTTAGTGACTTCAAAAGACAAAAGCTCTCCATGGATTGGGTTAACTGGCATGGGTGCTAGAAAAATAGGGAAACAAGTAATAACATGGAAGTATAGTCACAAGGTCATGAGTGAAAACTGATGTTAATTTGACAAGGTAGGTTCTTTTGAAAATTGCTTTCTGAGTGGACAATACTTCCATGGTTTTTAGACCTTTTTGTATGCAAAGTTTAAGACTGGATTATGATTTTGCTGTATGGGTGCATAGCAGGTTGGAAACTGTTCTTGGAATAGTCAGAAATGTTACCCTGTCAATTGGAGGGGAGTATTCAGAGGGATCCACCAGCTGTCTGTCAAAGTTCAGAACTACTCAGTTTTTATTAGTGATTTGGCTGAAGAACAAGAAAGTATTTTAGTTACATTTGCAGGTCAAACTGTGTAGGAGGAAACTGGGAGTAGCTGTGAGCATCTTATGTCAGGTCAACTGTCATATGATTCAACTGGGATCAAGCCATGCTTATTTCTAAACAAATAACATATAATTTAGTGGTTAAGGGGTTCTGAGAACATGGATCTACACAACTAACAGATTTTCTGTATTGCAGTATGTATTATATTAGTTCTGTTATAAATTAGATTTCTGTGTTCTCTTAATTTGGATACCCATTTTCTTCCTCAATTTCCAACTTACAGACCATTATCCACTTTCCTTGCAAACCAGTCTTCCTGATGAGTGTT